GCCCGGACCTTCTGGACGCCGTCTCGACACGGACCGAGAAGATGGTCTCTAAGCCGGTGGGAGACCGAGTTCTAAGCCTCTCAACTATCCCCAAGATTGGAAAGAACACCAAGTTGGTGGTTGGTGAGTTCCAAGTCGTCTGGGACATGATCCAAAGTGTGTTGTAGTGCCAAGATTCAAGCACGCAAGGTCGGCGACACTTCCGAAGATTGTTATTGGCACACTTTTCACAATGCGCTCTTTAGTCCCTTTATTTGTCAGACCCAAAGCTAGCGCTAGAGTCGCTAGAGGGTTTCAGAGCCACTTCCTTTTTCTCAGAGGACATCAGCACGCTTAATTATAAGCTTCGCTCATTGCAGTTTTGGCTTGCCACCATGCCCATACGTTCTCGGTCTTCATGATCTTCATGCTTAACTCCACTCCTACATTCCCTCTTCAAAGGTGCCTCTTTCACCACAGGAAAGGACTTGTCCTGCGCAGCAGCGGCTCGCCGATCCCAAGGGGAATGATGCGATGCTGTCTGAGTCGAAGCAAAGCCAAAGTCTGACTGACAAGCCGCAATCCATCTCAAAAACGTTTGAACATTCTATGTGTATTGGGTTTTTCATCTGTAAACACGATAAAAACAACTATAATTACTGTAAAACACATTGAATATGATGTGGTCAACAAGCTCTTTCCAAGATGAGCTTGTTCAGTCGAGATTCCCGCTCCTTGCCTCAACATGTCTCCAAACATATCCCGATCAACACTGAGTGCCCCTGTGGCCCGGTCGTCCTGAACGTCAAAGGCCACTCCCACATTGGATCCGAGACCTCGACAAGCAGGATCCGAGGTTCGTCTACTGAGAAATCATTCAGTTTGATCGGATTCTTTGGCTCGATGGACAAGGATGGGCGACACAACTTCAAACACCGAAATGTCAAAAGTAATATATAAACACATATCGGCTCATAACTTCAAACACCGAAAGTAGAAACACAAGGCTTTGGCTTGCGGTGGCTTTGGCTGAAGGCAAAGCTGGAATTTGGGGTGTGTTCAGGTAAGGACCAAACTCAAATTGTCTTGCGAATTGGCAAAGAATGTAACATCTTGGTTTCATGATGAGTTCCTCTATTTGAGGCACACTGTCACACCCATATCATAACCCATCTCCAAGGCAACAAACAAATTACTAATCGTACAAGCTGCAACTCTACAGTACCTGTCAGGAACCCAAAAACCGTTGCTCTACTAATATAACATACAACCAATTACTTTCCCGGCCTTGCTTGTTTCGATCTTAGCAATTCTACTCAAGGGCTCTAGTCATCTATGCTGCTTCACTCATGGACCATTCAAGAATTCCAAAATATTATTGTCTCACTTTCTGCCATGGCACTGAGGTCTAGCTTCGTCACAACCACTCCAACCTGAGGCTGCGAGGCCATTGGGAAATGTTTTTCTCGTCGAGAACTTGCTTGCTGGACGTGCACCATACAAATGTGTGCGAAACATTGAAACATATCAAGCCAATGTAACGTGTACTGGAAGACGTCATACTTACACATGGCAAATGTTTAGCTTTCCAGCCACAGTACTTTGTTCTCCGATCCTGGACACGGAAACTACTTGTTTGACCATATCCGTTTTGCCCCGTTTGCCTACACGTTTGGCAGAGGGAAGATGTGTTGATCTGTAGACCGCTGGGGGCCGTTGGGCAGTTCCATGCTCCATGAGGTCAAGGAAAACACATGCGCGAAGCATGCGCAAAGCAACCCTCCACGCCTGCTCGGCGGCCTGGTGCGGCTGGGAACAGAGCGAATCTGAATCGTTCGGTCTGGACCATGTCCATGTGTCTGGCGGATTGGTCTGGATACGATCAAGATCCACCTTTTTTTTTCGGAAATTCCTGGACTCAAGACATCACAAAGCCATCCATCCTCCTCGAACAGTATTCAGTGTTGTCACTGCTGGGGATACCCTGACCTCAACGAGGGGTAGAATGAATCTGAATCTATTATAGTATATATATAATATTAGTAGTAGAATCCGGCATCCGGAAAGGATCTTATCTTTCCAACCTGCAAATCATATGACATCTATTTGACCCGTGAGCGCGCCACAAAGGATATCGTATAAGTGGAAAATCCCTTCAACAGACTAGAGGTAAACATGGCCCTCAGAAGTAAACATGGTCCTCACTACCCATGGTCACTACCGACACACCGACTGTGCCGGTGCGAGCCGCACCCCGTAGCCGCTGTAGCCGATCGTCATGGTCTTTCCTGGCAAAAAAACACAAACAAGTGGCCTCCTCTTATGGATGGGACCCCAAGGCAATCTAACGCAACGGAATACCTTTGATAGATGAGATCGTGTATATTTGGAAAGCACCAAACACTGAAGAAAGAACAGGGTGTGAATCCTCCATCTCATGGCTGGTTTACTCGGAAGTCGCTGAATCCACAGGCAAACCAGCTATCTGTATTTTTATATATTATGTATACACAGAATGCAGAATACACGGTTTAGACACAGTCATTGTGTAGCCCCTCATCCAGGCAAAAGCACACACAGACTGGAAATGACTGGAAGCCCAACACATGTCTTGTGGGTAAAAGCCAAACTGAGGCTGTGATCCTTGCTAAAAAGTGCTTTAAAGTCCTTGTTGTTGTTGTTGTTGTTGTTGTTGTTGTTGTTGTTGTTGTTGTTGTTGTTGTTGTTGTTGTTGTTGTTGT